CAGCCTTTGAATCAGCTCTTATAACCTACACAGTGAAGTTGCCAGTGCTATGCTTTTCATTTAACAATGATGTAAATGACTTTCTGTATTGCAGACCTAAAAAAAAAAACAACAAAAAAACCCAACTTGAAGTCTGGATTGCGGCTGAGCTTTTAATTTTATTGTATTTCTGTCAAATACATAGTTGTCCTGGTATTGAGAGTCTCAGTTCCTAGTTCTCCTTTCTTGACAGACTGCTGCAATACAGACTTCGTTGTGTCTCTTGCAGCTTCCAATTGATCCACACCTAGAAGGCAGTCAGTGAAAAGCTTGGAACTGTTTCTTATCTTTTTTGGGTGAAGTGAGAGAGAGAATAGTGATGTGGGTAGTTTTTACAGCAAGTGTCAGTCTTCTTGTCAGCCATGAGACCCAGCCTATGAGACCTGCTTGTCCCTCTCTCCTCTGAAAAGTTTGTGGTGGTGGTCAGGCAATCCCTCCAAAAGGGGTGGGGGATGACATCTCCTTCACTGCAGATGAAAGGCGTTGAGGAGCAGCTCCCTGGTGATGACTATTAGTACTGGTTTGCCCTTTGTGTGTCCTGAATAGAGTTTCTTCCATTATCTGTTCCATGTGATGATGGAAGGCACCAAAAAGTCATGTAAAGCACACATTTATAGTCTGCTCCAGGAGAGTTAACTGCTTCTACTCAGTCTGTGCTCTTACCTGCAGGGTTTTGGCTGTTTGGGGCTTGCTAATTTTGGGCTCTTTGCATTAGAAAGAGCTCCAGTTCTCTTCTGTGCAGCTAGATTATTGCAGTCATTTGTAATTTCATGTTTCATGCTGGAGTAAGTCAGGAGATAGAAGATTGTTCTGTTGAGGAGAGCAAGTTGTAAAAAATCTACAGCCTTTCTGGAAGAACATATGTTCAAGTTGGCACATCCCATACAATTTCTGGTCATTTTTGATGTACTTGTCTCAAGATACTCCTTTCAGGTTTGTGAAAGAATTTTGTACTTGTCAAAACACTAATATCCCAAGGGTGGAATTAAAGGAGAACTCATAGCAGGCTTGAGGCCATTTCTCCCAAGAGGGAAGTTTTCTGGGTCCAGTTCCAAAAGTCAAGGGAAAGAAAATAAAAGTTTGGAGTCCCATTAATATTTAAAAACTATCTAAGCACAGTTACTGATAAGTCTTCCAATGAGTCACTTATTGTAGCGTAACAAACACAAGCAGCACTCTGAACCTAATAATGCTGCTTAGTTAAAAAAATAGTTCTTCATTGTCGAGTTATGCATGGGTCTTGGGTCTTTAAAGGGACAGGGGCGGTTGTTGATTGTTGTAAAGTTGTTTATTGCATGAATGCATCAGCCTCAAAGGCGAAGAGTTCAGAGTATTAAAAGTCTGTGCTAAAAGCTTTCTGGCATAGAGTCCCCATGTTCTGAGCAGAAGCAGTAGCAGCTAGCAGAAGCTACTACCACACCTTTTTTGTACCCCAATACAGGGGGATTTTATTCATAAATCAGTCAACTAAAAACACGATTCTAAAACATTCTTCCTACACCTATCTGAGCTTAATTCCAGTGTAAAAGTAGTGTCAGCTCTTACACAAAATCTGCACACGTAGTTCTATCTGTTCTGTCTAGAAATGTAAGCAGTGTTCTGCTGTGTTTTAGTTTTGTCTGGAGCTAAGTTAATCTTTGAAAGGTATCACTACTGAACTTTAAACTAGGTTTTAGGGCTTTTTACTAGCTAACACAGTCTCTTAAGGCACTTAAGGTATATTTCTACTTACTTAAAACTAAAACTTGCACTCCTACTTCATGTCAGTGTAGTTTAATATATTTGTTTCTCTAAAAGTTCCAACTCAATCCCTGCATTCCTTTATCTCTCTGAAGGACTCCTCAGAGAGGCTTCTATTTCATGCATTCCAATACTTCGTGTTTTCATAGTGACAGTGTCTCCCAAAGTACAGCATAGCAGCTTGGAGAAATTCAGAGTAAGCAGTGTTCTGCTGTGTTTTAGTTTTGTCTGGAGCTAAGTTAATCTTTGAAAGGTATCACTACTGAACTTTAAACTAGGTTTTAGGGCTTTTTACTAGCTAACACAGTCTCTTAAGGCACTTAAGGTATATTTCTACTTACTTAAAACTAAAACTTGCACTCCTACTTCATGTCAGTGTAGTTTAATATATTTGTTTCTCTAAAAGTTCCAACTCAATCCCTGCATTCCTTTATCTCTCTGAAGGACTCCTCAGAGAGGCTTCTATTTCATGCATTCCAATACTTCGTGTTTTCATAGTGACAGTGTCTCCCAAAGTACAGCATAGCAGCTTGGAGAAATTCAGAGCCCAGAGCAGCCAGGTCCTGGCACGGGCCGCTCCATCATGACCTGTCTTTTCAGAAGCACCTGGATGCCTTACTTGGAAACTGTAGGGCCTTCACTTGATTCAAGTAATTCTGCTACAGACAGGCTCGCTACCTGATACCATCCTACAAAAATCTTGCTTTTGGTATGGAACCATATTGCTGGTCTAGCTGAGGTGACTTAAACCTGGATTTAGCAATGTTTACAAATTCTGTATAGATTAATTTGCAATTCTGGTGTTACACTGGGAGTCTTGTTGGGGGAGTGTCTGCTGCCTTCATATGAGGAAATCCTACTGCGTGGGTCATTTTTAGGAGGTGTGTTAGATGAGCACTTCTTTCCACTAAACAAAAGGAATGTCATCATTGGAAATTACAGCAGTCCTCCTTATCCTAAGGCAAGATCCAGGATGTGCTGTCACAGTCTTTCTCACGCTTTTAGGGATGATTGTTTAGTCAGTCTCAGAAAGAATAAGGAATTGGTCGTTATGTATGCTCAGTTTGTAGCTTTATCAGTCTGGCAAATCAAGTTCTGTACAGATAGTTGGGTGGAGTTTAATGGTACGTTTGTCTTTTTGGTGTTTACATACCCATTTGAAAATTAGGAATAAAGTTCAGGACTGAAGGGAAGGTAGGAAGAAAGAATTTGATTGGCATGTAAAAACACTGTCACTTCTAAAAGTTTACCAGAAGAGATGGTGATAGTGAATCTTTGAAGCTTGTTGGACAAGTACCACATTTTGAAATGTGTTACTCAGGGACTGTGCTGGTGTTTTTTTTTTTGTTGTTGTTTTTGAAATACTGTTTTGTAAGATGTGTTTTTATGACTGAAATAAAGAAAACTATTTTGATCACAATATTACTTTTCTTTGAAAAATAATGAATAGTGGCATTGTAGCATCATATTTAACTTTGGCTAATATGACCTTCAAGTAAGCAGAGGGCCTGAGGTTAATTCATGCTATGCAGTCCTCAGATATATGTCTTTAGGTCATAAGAGGCAGTGATAACTTCATATTTGAGAGTTCAGAGAACAAATGTCCTTGGGGTACTTGGAGGTTGAATTCTTTTTGCTTCGCTGTCCCTTGCAACAATTACAACTTCGTGCTTTGTTACATGAAAATATTGATTGTGGAGCTAAAAAATAAGTCATAGACGTTTTTCTTCAGAGCTAAGCTATTGCTACATCCTGCAAATAAATGTCTGGTTAGCTTACAGTGCAACTTAATGAGCAGTTTCTAGTTTAGGAGGTGACTTGGCTGATGCCTGCCTGTGGGGTAGGCAGCAGAGAGAGGTATGCTGTATATTCTTCTCTTAAGATACTACTGTTTCAGCCATGAGGTAATCGTACCAAAAAGTCAAGTATAGCAAGGAGTGATACTTTGTTTGAGCAGCCAGTGTGACTGAGGGGTGTGAGGCACTGGGTCAGGCATGTGGGTGCACACTACTTCAGGTAGTGCCTTAAAAGTGTTTTTCTCCCTTTTCAATTTCAGTTCATTAGGCAAAAAATTTAGTTAAAGGAATTATTTGAGCATTGGGAGTGTCAAAAACGCCATACTTTGCTAGCTCAGACTAGTTTTCTGTCTCCCTGAGTGTTGAACAAATAGTTACAGAGAATACCATAGCATATATAGATTGGCATTGACCTGGGTGTATTCTTTCAGTTTCAAGTGGTTGGTTGTTCATTAACTTTTGAGCTGTTGATAGATCTGTTTTTGCGTCTATATTTCTGACCTTTAAAGCATTTGGTAACTAAATCTGTAGGCATGGTAATGTGGTCCAACTTCAGTTTTTAACCAGTTGCCCAATAATTTCATTCTGCTTTAATCCTTTGTGTTTGCTAAATAATGAACAATCATTTAATTCCTATTCACCAATACTTTACTGGTGAGTTTGTATATACTTTCATCACTTTTTTTCTGAAGTTCCTAGGGCTTTTTTTCATTCTTTCATCACTTTTAGGAGAAGAGTTGCTGGGAGCTACCTTCAAGAGTCAGGAGATTTGTCATAGTGCATCCATTGTATATTTGGTGTGTGTCTAATTAGTAGGTTATTAACAGGTGAAGCAGAACAATGAAAAAAAAATCTTTTGTACCTGGTTTGATTTGGATGGAGTATGTGGTGACCTAGCAGTTAAGATTTGATGGAGTAGTTAAAGCTTACAAGAAGTCTGCAATCATGTAAGAATTTTGGTGTATATGACAAATTTGAACTTCAGTATATATGAAGCTCAGGATATAACTTGATGTAAAAACATTTTCCTGTATAAACTTTATTTTTAAAGCTGTCTATTTGTCCCCTCTATCATCTACAGCATTCAGCACATACTAATATGTTTTTCATTGCTGCAGCTTGCTTGTGAGCTTATTAGCATTTTACAGCAGGTTGAATAGACATTAATAGCATTAAAAAATGGAGAAAAAAATGGAACAATGATCAAATATTTAAATCTTGTAAAGAAAATATACTGTGTTTTGAGATAAGCAACTAGAGAAGAAAAGTTGCTTGCCTTAAAATTGGTATTAGAGGTTTACCTTTTAAGTAAAACATCCTGAAAATATACCTCACCCTATCTTTGAAGCTTCTAGTACTACACTTGTTGAAAAAAACTTCCTGTTGCAATTTGTAATCAGAATAGTAAATTATATAATTTTTACAGCTTCAAGAAACTGATAAACACATGAGAGAAGATGACAAGATCTAGATCAAGATCACCACGATGGAAACCAAGGTAAATATCTGCAGCTTGTGTTCTGAGATGTAGCTCTATGTAAGGATTTGTAATTAGGGCCTAAAACTTGCATTAAAGAAAGAAAACAAGAAAATTATGCGCGGAATTGCAATTTGTAAAGTGTGTTTTGTAATCTGTAGTTTATTGTATAGCTCAACACCTGTAATTTTTTTACCAACTCATGATTTTATTACAATTTCTCTTAAGCTGGAAGTATTCAGGTTTTGCAGTCTGACAAGAACCTTGTTCACCTTTTGTATTCTGGGATTTACACCTACCTTAAGCACAAAATCCAAGCTCCAAACTAGTTAAGGTCATTTTTACTCAAGCACACCTTGTGCACTGAATGTCTGTAACTTGCTTTTGTTTTGCCTCCTGGCCTACAGAGAGGAGCTGTTTAAAAAAAAAAAAAAAAAAGTTTGGTTTTTTTTTAAGTTTCCTAGTTCAAACACCTTGGACTTTCTGAAGTTTGGGGCTGATTTGTAAACTGATCTTTAGCACAGTTAGACATGCCTTGCAGCATAACACAGAGTGAAAACATGTGGAAATGTGGGAGTCGTTGCCCTTCTGCTTGGACATCAGCCTGGTAGCGCATGTCTTTGACATTTGTTACCAGAATAACATCCAGCTGACTTCGTGCTGGGAGTTACCTGCCTCATTTTCAAGACTTGCAGTGCAAATTTGAGGTGCTAAAACCAGGAGGGTGGAATACAGTTTCAAGCTTTTGAGAATGTGAAGTTACTGCTGGTTTTGGGTATCTCTTCAAAACAGACTTAAGTTGTGATGACCAAGACCAAGGGAGTTTGGATAACTCAGAAAAATGTGTGGGGTTCTTTATTTGTTTCTTTTGTTTTTAAAAGGAGAAATCCTACCTATGTCCCTACTAGACTGGTAGTTGTGAATGTCATTTGAGTAAGGGCAGCCCCAGCTCTCATTAAAATACAAGCCCTAACCAGACCAACATGGGGCAGCAGCCACAGTGTAGGTGCTGTTGGAAATCAGCCATTTTGGTTTTAGGAATGTCTGTGGTTCTGAGTTTGAACTCATTTGCAGAAATGGAGAAAATATTTGTTCCAAACTGTACGTTTGCAGTATGTGCACTAAGGAAGTAGCTTATTTCAACTTGGTTTTTGATGTTTTTTATTAAAGAGCATGTAAAGAGTGTGCAGTGAGTACTTGAATACAAGCAGGACTGTTATGTCTGGGATTATTACTGGTACTCGTTAGTGGCCTGTGCTGTTTTTTCTTTATTTTAAGGAGATTTCAGCCACCAGTTCCTAACAGGTTGCCCTCGTTTTTGTAACTGTAGGTGAAAATGCAGAGCTGAGTGATGCAATTGAATCTTTAATTGCAAAAGCTGCAGTGAGTGTGGAAGTGTGTGTGTATACATCTGTGAACATGTACATACAATTATCCAAAAGGCCAAAGCATCTTTCTCAAACTTGTTTTTTTCTTCAGGAAAAAGCCTACCTGTATGACAATTTAAATATATTTTGTAATGTTCCAGTCTTTCAGTTTTGAAGGTTGTTTTGCAAAAAAAACGTTAAAAGGCATTTTCTTCCCCTTTTAAATTTATTTATACACTTCTTTTTTTCCTTCCCTTTTTTCTCTTTGCATTGAAAAAGAAAGATAGGGAATGCTTGAGAAGTGTGAAAATATGTATAACAGTTGTTCTCAATGTAGTGGAAACTTCATGTATATGAAATTATTTTTAGTTTTAAATAAAACACTTCAAAGAGACAAAAATGATTGACTTGCTGCAATTTCAAGTGTGTATTTTTACTATGAAAACTTTCAACAGAGTAAAAGTAAGCCTGGTACTCAGCCAGAAAAATGCCACTTTGATATCTTGGTGTTAATTTTTTTACAAGCTGACTAAAATTCTGTACTAAACCCTACTTCCTTAGGAAATAGATGTTCTCATTAAGAAATTTATTTAATTTTATGGAACTACTTAAAGTGGATTTTATTTTTGCTTTAGGTCCTTATCTCCAGCTTTTAGGACTCCAGAGCACCATAGGCAAAGGCATGCTCATATTAATTATGACTGTGAATATAAAAGCTTTCGTAAGGACCCAAAAAAGTCTATGCCTTGGAGAACAGAAGATGAAAAGTATGGCCAAGGCAATTCCAGGTTTGCACCTCATGGAAATAACCACCAGAGAATATATGAACGTAGGTCACCTTCACCAAACTTGAAAAGAATTCCCATGGAAGATGCTTACAGTCATAAGCCCTACAGAACACATTCATCTGAAAGGACTGAAAGCAATAGGAGAGGCCAGTTACCACCAAAATACTCGGAAATACCTTATAAAGAGCATGATCGTCCGTTTTACCAGCACAAAATGGAGGACAGATACATGTTTGATCACTACAAAGTCACTGGAAATGAAAAAGGAATGAAACCTTTTCATAGACCATTAGGGGCTTCATGCAAACTTGAAAGAAAATGGCATGAAGATGACTTGAGGCACCAGAGGTTACATGAAGAGAAGTATGGTCAGTCACCCAGAAGAGTTTCTGATGAATTTACGGCAAGGAGCTCTTTACAGAAGAGGTATAGGAATAAAATAATTAAACCCTGGGTATTGTGGTGTAAAGCCTCAAGTGAAAGTCTATTTTCATTATAGTTGAAGATATCCACCTTGAAACACGTTGGCCACTTTGTAGTTTAATTATGGGCGACTGGTAGTAGTGAAGTATTTGTCTTTTAAGTAAATCGTATTGCTGGCTAGAGTATGAAAGGATAATATTTCCCTCTTAAGAGCCCCTGCACATCTGTACCTTGGCGTGAGGGATTATGGGTTAACTTGCCACGCATTCTGCTGTCCAACATTCTGCACATATAAGTTCTCGCTTTCTTCTCTAGTGCAAGTGTAAATTGCTTTATGTCAACACAGGTATCCTGAAGATCACGATTACAGAGAATATGGGCACGCGTCTAAAAGGGCTAAGGAAATGGAGAGGTATGACGGTGGAGATGTAGCGAGAAATTCCAAGTGGAAGCAAGAACGTTCTTTTCCACCCTGCCAAGAAAAGGAGGAGCAAAGATACCCGGGTGCACAGTCCCGGCGGTCGGCTGAGAGGGAGCACTTGGGGGGGTCTGTCACAAAGATAGCCTATGAGTACAGCCACAAACGGCGCCGGCACCCGGACGGGGAAAAGCCTTTTGCGGGCGACAGAGCTCAGAAGTACGTGAAGCAGGAAGAGCAGAAGTACGGCTCTTCCAAGGGTGCCCGGAACAGCAAGGAGCTGGATTACTTCAGTGGGGGCAGAGCGAGGCGGACTGAAGAACGGCACGTTGAAGAACCTGTTAAATGCAGTTCAAAGAAGGGCTGCAATGCTTGTGTTAACTCTTCCAAAACGGATGTTGAGCTGAGGTCTTTTAAAAACAAACTGAATGAAAGAGTGAGGAAAGACAGGGAATTGAGGAAAACCGTAGATTCCTCCAATAGCCAGCGTGATGCAAGTCATACTGTTTCAGATGTGAAAGTGTCAGAGGCCAACTGTATGAGAGAACATCTCACAGTCAAAGTGGATATGAAGAAAATGGTGACCAAGTACAGGTACTGGTTTTCTTTCACCTCTGCTTTCTTCCTGTCTCTTTACAGTTTATGAATATTGGAGGGAAGCGTGGTTTCTTTAGGAGGTGGCCGGGACAAATTATGATTGTACCTTTTTAGTTTTATTTCTTCTAAAATGGTAACTTTCCTGTCTTGGCAAGTTAACTATTAAATCTCTATTAAAATAAACAAATACAACCACCAACAAAAACCCAACATTTTATGGAGATGTAGGAAGTGGAAAGAGTAGATATGCGTGATACAAACGTGTAGTTAGAAGTTCATTATGATAAGTGAATGTGTTATTTTTATTTAAAAAACAAAACCCTCAAAAGACTAAAACCCAAATGCAGATAAGCGTAGTCCTGTGCTTTCATCTGAAATACGATGGCATTTTTTTAAACTGTCTTCCCTTCTTTTTTCTAAAAATCAGTTAACCTTTAAATGCATAAATCTCAAGCACATATATTCAGATGTTCAAGATCTCAAGTTCGGTAAAACTGCCAAAAATGAGAGATCTCTGAGTTGTCATTTATTGTTCTAACCAAGTGGCAACCTGTTGAGGCATCAGAACTAAAAAGCAGTAGAATCTGCTTACAAATGTCTTCTGTGTAATATTTGTGTTTGCATTTAGCATTCCCTGTGCTGGCTGCAATGGAAGAAAAAGTGGCAGTAGTGTAAAATTTTAGATGATAAATACACGGTAGAGAATAAGCAGCTTGGTTTTGATAGGTTCTTGCAGGGTTTTGTGGTTTCTTGTCATGCTGTTGCAGGCCAGAATATCTTATATTGGTAGTAATGGCTTTTGGAAGAGATTACCTTCCTTTCCAAAATTCTCAGCCTTCATTTAAAGGTATTTTGCCTCTTGTCCCAAGAAAAACTTCTATATAAATTTTCTTCACTTTGCACTTTTTAAAAAATATGTAATACAATGGAGAGTTACCGAGACAAGTTACTGCATATAAGGAGCTAATACTAAAGACTGAGGAAAGGGAGGTGGAGTAATGCCCATTGACCACAGTTGGGCTGGGATGAGGCTTTGACTTCCTGAATGATAATGTCAGGAAAATTGTTGGGTTTTGTTGCAAACCCATAGGATGATTCCTCTATCTAGGAGATTCTTGCTGCTGTTTTTGAAGGTCATGCACAATGGACATGGTAGTTGCTTGCAGACCAAAGAAACTGCTGCATTGATTACAGCTAATTTAATGTATGGACGGTTTGCTTCTGCAGCCAAAAGTGCTAAATATTTTATTTTTTCAAAGATGAGAACATTAATTTTACAGAAGCTGATGACTTGGATTATTCATATTACTTTAGGCATTGAAGAAACACCTGACTTGAAATGACTCAGCTGAGAAAATAATTTCTTTATAAACCTGGGGAGCAGGTAGATAATTCAAATATCTAAACCTGAGGTTGCTTGGATTCCTTCTTGCGTGCATTTATTCCCAGTTTGCTAGGGGAAAATAGATAATTTCTGGCATCTGCTAGAGGCTATTTCTGATGCAATTTTTGTATGGAATTCTAGTATTGTGTGCTTCTAATACAGTGTGGCCAGGCACACATAATCACTTTGCAGAATGAACAATTAAAAGCCTTCATCCTAAAATCTTTTATCTGAGCTGTTAGAGTTGTTAATTTATATTTTAGAATGACAAGTATTTTCCTTGAAGCAAGAACAGTATGGTTGTTGAAGTGTTGGCTTTTTTGTCAAAATAATTTTTGAGCAGCAGTGCAACCATTTGGGGTGTAAACTTACTCAGAGTGAGTACAAATTCACAAAAAGATGGTAATCACGTTCTTGAGTTCACACACTGCTACTGAAGCAGTTTCACTAGGATGAAGTGATGATTCAGTTCCTAAAGATGTGAGACTTTTTTTCTTATCTTTGTACTGTTCTTGAAGATTGCCTGGTAGCTCCTTATAAACAAGACACAGGCATGACTGCCTTTCAGAATTATTCTAAAGTAGTCTATCAAGATCTTGATTTTATCTAGATTTGATAATCTAGTTGAATTAAATATAAAATTCACAAATTTTGTATTGCATACTTCACAGAAACAAAGATTCCTGAGAGTGAAATTATCTCTTCATATTTTAGTATAGATTTTCTTCCTTATGGCCTTACTAGTTTTTTAATTAAAAAAAAGGAACAAAATGAGATTTTTGCTTTTAATCCCATTTATTCATAAAAGGAACTTCTCAATTTGTTTTGTTCTACCTGTCTATTTCAAATTTTCAGTTTTAGATATTTGCTTTAAAATAAACTGTACTTTTTTTTTTATTCTAGAACTGCTTCTAGTCACACTACAGAGAGACAGATGTCCCATGATCTGGTTGCTGTTGGCAGAAAAAAAGAAAATTTTCATCCAGTGTTTGAGCACATGGAATCTGTAACACAAAATGTTGAAAACGACCCATCAAAAGAATTTACTCAGGAAATCATCACAATTATTCATCAAGTTAAAGGTGGCTGTAGTATTTGGGCTATATGTATCTGTTTATGTATATATTACAAATGTAGATTACTGAACACAAAGTGGTGGTTAGATATGAGGTCCTAGTAAGTCTCAGGTGTTTGCCATTGGCTTTGTTTATATTTTGGTTTCCTTTTGTATTTGAAGAAAATGCGTGTTGAAGATTTAAAGTAGTTGAGTGGAGGATGACTGCAGGAAGGTGTCAGGCCATAACTGAGGCATTACTGTGGAGATTAAAGATCAAAATGATTTTATGCTAGCATGGGAGAGTAACCTGCTTGTTTAGGAAACATGACAGGAATAAGGGAGCTTCGCTGTAATCACAGCTCTAGTTACATCCAGTGCCTTTAAATTTCCAGATTAGTGTTTAGGCAGCTGTATCATGTTCAGTGTTGAACTTTATACATAGATTCAAGTAATTTGGGAACTACCATGGTAGAGCTGACAATTGAGTTTAATCTTATCAAATAAGGTACTCTAAGTTGGGCTGGCTTAATCTTTCATTTGTGTATATTAAACGACAAGTGGAAACAATTTGAAATTTCATTTCAACAGAGTTGTCATGGTATCCTTAAGAGTTAATCTTTTAAAAGATAGATTTTCCCACTGTGCATTTCAAATACTACAAATAACGTTCTTGTATTTAATATCTCTTCGCAGCAAATTATTTTCCATCTTCTGACATAACTCTACATGAACGGTTCTCGAAAATTCAGGATAAATCAAGTGCAAATACAAATGAAGTGAAAATGCATCTGGATCCAGAAATTCACAGGTAGTTGTTGAGCTTTTTTGTCTTAATTCATTTGCATTAAGGTAATTAATCTTCAGTAGACTTTACACATTTTGGTAATGTTTACCAGCCTGTATCCTTAACACATTCTGTAGCCTGGTCAAGAATGCTTTTACTTTTATAGTGTTGGCATTTGTTTTTATGCATTATTTTTGTGTTCCAGGAGGATTGACATGTCTCTAGCAGAACTTCAGAACAAACGAACCATGCCATCTGAATCTCCCCAGGTACCTTGATTGCTTAACTTTTTTGGTAAGCAGTAAGTTGTTATTATAGATACATTATACATGTAAGTAATGTTTTCCCCTTGCTATTGGGACATAATTTTTACATGCTGTGAAGACCAGCAGTAATTCTGAGTATTTTGAAAAAATGCACACCCAAGCATATTTACAGATACCGCAGTGATGCCAGTGTACTGTGTGCACTGAGCAGTAAAATGCAGATGTGTTCTCCTGAGTAGATGGAGTGTGATTATTCCTGCTGCTTGAACCCCTGTCTGTTTTTAAATAATGTAAATACTGAGTCCCTGACTGATGTGTGATTCTTGGTTTTCCTCCGAGGTTACAAAAAGCCTTAATGTTTCTTCTACCCTAATGTTACAATGACTCAAAATCCACATAATTCCTCAGAATGCTATTTTATCCCACGCTTTCATCTAGGGTCATAAAATTTTCTGTCTTCCCCTTTAAAGCTCTGCTTGTTATGATTTAGTTACCATTCCTTTTCTATAGTACAGGTACGTGGATATTCTCCTTGATTAAGGATAGTAGAACTTCTTGAGATTTACTGAAACTTACATGAATATTTCTGCCTTGGTAACTCCATGCAGAATTCCAGTGCTCTGTGCACTGTTATTTGGAAACTTGTCAACAGGCAGATGGTGCAAGGAAGGATAATTGCTTAGGACCACTTTTTATTGCTTTAGACTTTGGATCCTTGGGTTGATGTGAACCTGTCCTGTGTGCAGATAGCTGAACTATGTTAACAGGTCATGTACAGGGTGCTGCCCCTGAAGGACAGAAGCAGGTTGGTGTTCAGTTCTTAGCAGCTAACTTGGCTTCAACCCTTCCTTTTAACTAGAACATTGTAAGAGTGTTAGAAGATCCAAATGATCTACGGTATGATATAGAAAGGAGAAGAAAAGAGAGATTGAAGAATGAAGATGAGAGAGTGTTTCATGTAGATGGTGTAACTCCAAGGTAATGAGCAAATAATCTTGTTGGCCCAAGCCTATAGTTCCCTTATGTGTTCATTTTAGGGCCCTTCCACAGCTACATTCACATTTGTGGTGATTCTTTTCCACAGTTAGTTTGACTGGGGCTGAAATCCAGCTGACATACATTGCAAACTACTCTGTAATGAGGTGTTACCTTGAAAGAGGTTAAACTGCAGTGGGTAAAAATGAAAAGCAAACACAAACTGTAGCACTGAATGATACCAGTGGGTAAAAATGAAAAGCAAACACAAACTGTAGCACTGAATGAGAAGAGAGGACAAAGTTAGTTTGAAACGTTTAAGATTTTTAAGCTCCTCGATGTGCCATGTAACAACATTCTCATGGTATTTTGCAGTTCTGTAAAATCATTCTAGGATAAATATATTGTTATGATACCCTAATGGTTTGGTAATAAAATGTGGAATATCAGCAAATAACTGGAATTTTTCTAATTCTTGGATAATTTGAAAACTTAGATTTTTGGAATAGCGTTTTACTCCCGTGGATTCCTCCAACAGGTTTGTTAAAAGTTTTCGCACCAAGGTGTCTGCTAACCTCAGTCATCCTGTTTCACTTTTGATGTTGTGAGGTCAGTTAATTAGAGAGAGACACTTTTTGTACAAATGTTGATTAATGAATTTCCAGAGTGTATTAAAATGTATCCACACAGTAGTCATAGTTTCTTATGCAGATTGTTCTTCGTGTGCTGCTCTTTGTTCATTTTAAATGCAGTCTGTAGTGGCAACTAATGGCAATACACACATTTGGAAAAACAGGCTTATGAAGCTGTAGAAGAAATTTCTTGTGTTTGAGATTCTTGAAACAAAAAATGTTAGCAAGTGGAGGAAAAAGTCAGTGGACTTGCTTCATTTCCCCCAGCACACTTCCCCAGTTACTGTCCTGCTTATCTTTTGTGAGAAGTGTAAATCTTCCTGTTTGGCTGTCCTGGAGTTTGTTGTCAGGGGTTCCACTGTCAGGGGAATGTGGGCTGAGGGCAGTACTGGCATGAATGATATGCAGAATTTTCCTGAGGTTGAGAGGCTTTAATAGCTCACATGAGATACTGGCAGTGCCTCTGAGCTTATTAAGTGTGCTGCTGGCTTTTTTCCTGAACTTATTTTGCAGCTATGAAAACTGTTTCTGTGTGTTTTGTAAAATACAAATTCTGACTTCTGCTGGTTAATTTTCATGGTAAATGTTTTATTTAGGAGTTTGTGGATGCATCTGTATTAGCAATATTCTTGGTAAAAAAAAAAAAAAAAAAGAAAAAAAGAAACAAGAAGGCAATAAAAACAAGCAAGCAAAAGCCCAAAGCCAGAGTCAGCTGCTTGCTGAGGATGAAACTGGAGGATGCAGGTGTCTGTGTAGAGCTCCTGTGGCTGGGGAATGCCGAGGCAGGGCGAGCTCGGAGCAGCCTGCGCGGGCGGCGGGGTGTGAGGGGCGCGGCTGCAGAGCGCGCTCCCGCCGGCAGAGGGCAGCAGTGACCGCTGGGCTGGGCGGGGAGCCGGCTGCTCCCGAGCGCGAGTTCGCGGCTCCTTTGGCGTTGGGAAGGGAATACAGAATACAGGTTGCTGTGGAATTCTGTGCAGAATTGCAGAATTTGAGCTTGGACTAGCAATTTGTTGATTGTCCTAGGAAAATTTACTTGCAAGCTGTCACTTAGCATTTGTGATAAAGATGCTAGAATAAGCTAGTTAAAAATACAGGGCATTGATATGCTGTGGCTTTAGGTATTAATTGTTCTCGCTCTCTCTCTCTCACACATCAGGAACCAGCAAAGCTGCAGTCTTTCAAAGTTACAAACATCTCAAGTTGATGGTTTCCATAAGCCTATGAGGTTCATTAAGCCACCTTTGAGGAAATTTATTGGGAGACCTCATCTGGTAAGCCTAAGTGTAGAAACAGTAGCTCCTGCACTGTTGATGTATAATTAATATTTTGCTTCATTGTCTATGCTGATGTAAATTTAACAATCTGGGATGTCTTGCCCTTTTAAATTTTGAGTGAGGTTTTTTTATCTTCTGTCTGTGCTCAACAACAAAACTACTCATAATTTCACAGTTCTAGCGCAAGAGTACTTCCTCAGGTATTTTTTGAAGCAGAGATTAGTACATCTGAACTAAAACCACTTTGATACCACTCCTTTTCTTTTCATAAAAGAAGTTTGTGTCTAATACCACATTTCTTCCACATAATGGTGTAATTACCTAAATGATAAAATAGAAGGCCTTGTTATTGAGCAGATAATCTGAGCTAATGTTAAGTAGTTTGAGAAAAAGAATACTCTCCTGCATTATAGTTGTCAGTGGTACGAAGGGAATGCCTGAATCTTGTGTAGGTGGTATTGTTTCTGAAACTGTTTCTTTTCTCTTCATTATGATAAAAGTTCTGAAAAGCACTTATTTTAAATAAAAATGAGGAGCAAATCACAGAAATAACAAGAAATATCTGAAAAATGTTCCTGAGGATGAAATGTTAAACAATAGAATGTCACATTTCTTGAATATTGCATTTATGAAACATAGCTTTGGACAATTATTCTTTAGGCTGTCTTTCTGCAGTGTACTTCAATACTGAAGTGGGCAGGACAATAATATTAGGTCCAGTAGAAATAAAATTTGTCTCTTGTGGAAAGTTCCTTCTAAAGAATTGTAATCAATTCCAGGTGTTTGTGCTTGTTTAACTTGGGGAACTGGTGAGACCAGAAAAGCTTTTTAAATGTGTGAAGTATAATTCTAAATCACTTTTTCTTATTTTTCTGTTGGCTGCAAAATAAGGAGAAGACTAACATAAGTTGTCGTTCCTTATACACTGTAACTAATACCCTATGGAGAGGGTTCCAGGTGCCCATGAAAGGTCCATCAAAAGTGGCTTTCATGTAGTCAACTCTCAAATGTAGCTGCTTTGCAGATACAAAAGTGCCTCCTTCAGTGTAAAGGAACACAAGTTTTTAATGGTAAAAAGCATTACTTAGTCTTGAGTAAGATTCAAGTCTCCCAAAGCAAGTAGCAATGGCTAAGTAATGGATCCAGCTGCACTGGGTCTGGCTGAGCTGGAGATCATTTCCCATAGCAGCCCTCCCTCCCAGTGCTGTGCTTTGCATGGGGGCCAGAAAGGTGCTGGTGACACAGCAGTGCTGGGCAGGGCTCCGCAGAGCCAGCCGTGCCTCTCCCGCTTCCCACCCCACACCCAGCTGGGACTGGGCTGGATCCTGGGAGGGGACATAGCCAGGACAGCTGACCATATGACCTCCTCTGCTCAGCCAAGAGAAAGGAAATAATAATAAAAGCTCAGAAAAAGGAAGGAGAGTGTGAGAGGTCATTGGTTATTATGACGTTTGTCTTCTGGAGCAGCCACTGTGCATTGAAACCTGACTTCCTGGGAAGTGGCTGGTGGGAAGTAGAGAAGAAAGCATAAAATTCCCTTTGCTTCTATGTGCAGTCTTTGCTTTTGCTTTATTAAACTGAATTTTTCTTGACCCATGTGGTTTTTAAATTTTATTTTCTCCCTCCCAGCCCTGCTGAGGGGGGAATGATGGAGCTGCTTGGTAGGTACCTGGTATCCAGCCAAGGTCAACCCACCACAGTAATACTGTAATTGCAAATAAAAAGGAGGTTGGTTTGAAAAGGACACTGAGTTATTTCTAAATGTGTTGAAGATTCAGGAAGATGGCATTTTTGTCTTTAATAGTGAATTGCAAATGTGCACCTTTTAGGAAATCTTGCACTGCAGTAAGGAGTAATTCCTTTGGAACCACAGTAGGTGTGAAAGCATAGGTATTAAAAATGCAAGACATCCTAAAGGTGGAGTGGCTCTTAATGGTCAGCCTTTTAGAAGCTGGTTTGCAGACAAGTAGGAAAATCCAAAACTTCAGTTAAGTAATCAAAATATAATATTTGTGATGTTAACATTCAGTAATTAGGGGTTGAGCTTAAACTTGAGAAAAACTTAGGCCTGAAAGATGCAATTGTGTATGTAAGCTTGAATGTAAGATTTGTCCTACTGACAAAAGGAGGCCAGCTAAAGAGTAAAGTAGAAGATCAGAATGAGTATACGTGTGTATTTCTCCTCCTCATTTTTTCTTTTATTTATTTTTTTAAAGCCTCTGGTTTAAGAACGTCCTAAAAAATGTTTTGCTGTACCTTTGCATCAAGTAGTTCTAATGTTAATATTTCTGTGAATGTACTTTAGTCTTAAGGAAGGTGGGAATGGGGAGGGCTGTATCCAGAGTTAATTAAGGCAAGCTTTATTTTAATTCCTAGAGGTTTATTTTGAACTATAGTGGGAAATTTTTGTAATTTTTTTTTCATCTTGCTGCAGTCCCAGCTTAAAGGAATAGTCTACTTCAGCTAGGAGCTTCCTGATTTGTGTCGTATGTAGAAAGTTAATTTGATTTTGTGGAGTGTCTTTGTTTTCTTCGAATAAGAAGGGAACTGAGAAGTTCCTAGCTTTTTCTTGCAAAAGCCATTTTGATCGCACTTCATAAAATCTTTCGCCCTCTCTTTTTGTTCTCTGAATCCTTTCTTGTCAGGGCATTGTAAGAAGCTGAATAGTTGACTTGTAGGCAATAACATAGTCTAAAAAAGAAAAAAGAAAGCTAACTTAAATCCTAGTTCAAAGTTATCTTGGATTCTAATATCATTCCATTATATTTATAGCCCCCTATCTCCCCACACCATTATTGGCAGTTTTACCAGAAAGGTTTGGTAGTTGTTAGAGGACAGAAATTCTGAGAACAGCAAAGCGTGCATTTGCATTTATTATTAAAGGTTAGTATTTATGAAATATTTCAGGAGAGTTCTCTTCTTAGATTCTTTTTAAAATGTATTTCAAGCTGATGAAATTTCTTTTATTAAAAGAGTTCAACAGCATTGGAATACTTCTGTGACTGTTTAAGAACAGACTATAAACAAACAAATTTATTTAATTGCTTAGAGTTCATTAGCATATTCATTCTGTCTGCATAGAGGACTTCAGTGTAGTTTGTGCCAATGCTTCTGTAAATATTGGTGACCATATACAATAATGGATGAGAATGACATCCTCTAGAAGCAGCAGTCATAGGGAAAGTTGGAAAAGAGCCAAAATGTGCAGGTAGGTCCGTGGCTGAGGGAGTGCTCTGTTTTAGGCAGCCACAGCTGTTTGATTGCAGCTGTTCAGTGTGTTGACACAACAATTTCAATACTACTTGTCTGTGTAACTTGCTTTTGAAATCGTGCTTGTGTGGCAGGCAAGCAATTCTCAAATGCTCCCTTGAAACAAGGAGTTAAAAGTAGCATTTTCTAAGGACCTCCATGTGCTACACATTGTTTGTGTGCTGTGGAGGTGTGCCTGTGCTACACACTAAGGGGTGATGGCCATGTGCTAACCAGGAGTCCAGAGAACCAATCCTGTCACCTTTGTTCCTCATGCAAGCCCTGACTGCTGCAGCAGCCTGTCTGCTCTACTTGATACATGCAAGCTGAGGCATCTGTTCTGGGAGGGAGGGAGGGAGGGACAGAGAACCTTAATTGTGTGGTCAGCTGCTTAGATCTCTCCAAGAGCAAGGAGTTCCAGGAGGATGGTCTGTACATCTTTGGCTTCTGTGGGCTCTGCTGTCCCTTCAGCCAGCCTGGACTGCAGGCACAATGCTCCTGGTACTCCTGTTCCTTCAAAGAGTGTCATTGTGTCAAACACTACAAGACTGAATGCCTTTCAATATTTGTTAGTATAACCTGAACAATTTATATTTTTTTTTCTTGAATAATTTAGTAACATGAAGCTATAACTGTTTTTCTACTAGAATTCTTACTATGCTTCAAAATCAAGTGACACTTACCCCCACAGACGTATTAGAGGACACCTTGAAAATGCAGGACCCATCAGAAGGCACTTTAAGGTACAGATCAGCTTTTATAAGATGTTTGTTATATAAAATGGTGGTTGAACCTGTTGATTTCATAACAGGACTCACACTTTTGAAGGTATTAAGTGCCATGAAAAATCATGTCATCAAAGCCTAATTGTTTCTGTTGGAATAATGGGAGGCTTAGCTTTTAGTAGGTGAGAAGGTTGGCAGTGGATTGAGCAGGGTTGTCCAGTGTTGTATGCAGGCAGTTGAAATAAATAGATTACTGCAGAGTCAGGAATAAGAAATGCAGGAATTGCACAATGGCTAGAAAACTCATCTATCCAAAACCCAAGCTGCTGAGCTTTTTTTCCTTCACATGACAGAAGCCTGAGCTTTTTCCAAAGGCTGGAAGACATGAGTTGTGTTAGTTTCAAAACTGTATTACTGTTATTTCATTAACCAGTTCATGTAGAGATTTCTGGGGAAATAATGTCTTGTGAATACCCTGCGTACTGCTAGCTATGCATTAAAAAAAATTTAAAGAAGTGAGGTTTTATTCTTGGGGCCTCAAGAAGGTAAAGAGATGGGCAACTGTGCTTCTTTCTCAGGTAGAGCAGTGGCCAACTAATGCCTTTTGATTGTAAAATGTACCCTGTGTTCAGCAGAAAAACAAAACATTTCCTTTTCTGCTGACAGTGGCATGCTCTGCGTGAGTCCATTTAGAGCTGTTGATGTGAGAAAAGTATAAGTCAAATCTAAAACAACTTACACTAGTTTTCTACCTCGAAATTGCCCCTACATTTTTAACATGCATTCTTAAGACTAAAGTAATAGACAGAACAGATAGTCACCTTTTCTGTTTTGTAGATAGTGAAGTAGAATTTCAGTGGCTGATCAGCTGTCACTTTTGGATGAAACTTTGAAAAGTAAGTAAGTATAGATGTGAGTTGTGGGATCTTTTTCCCCTTCTTCCCCTCCACCCGCCCCCACCAAACATAAGAGCTGTTGGATAAAAAGACTTTCTTCACTTTAGGTGTGCCTTGTCAGCCAACCTTAGTCAGATAGCTAAGCTGACATCAACAAAATCTGCTGTCCTTATTCTGCTGGAGAAAGTATTTTTCTAAGTTAAAAAGTTCAAAGTGTTCAAAGCCTGATACAACTATTTTAACACCTAAGAAGATTGTAGCCTGTTACTCTGTATCCCCTCTGCATTGTCAGCCTCCAGGTGATGGAGGAATGTAGCACTGGCTGCTCGATCCCTGGGGCAGTGTTGGTGGTTGATGCTCCTTTCATTTACATATTCTGCAGCTCTGTTGATTCTACAAGCAGGAAAGTGTCCATTTAAGTTGTCACCTCACATATACATGAATATTGCAGTACCCAGTGATCTGTCCCATGATGCTTTAATATTTATAGGGAAAATGGCATATGCGCTTGTATTGCAGTTTGCTTATGTGTATAGCACTTCTATCATTGCCCTGGAAACAGTGGTATTGATGTGACTTAATTTCTTTAAATTTTTATATTTAAATTCCTCTTGCACATCGGTTTTCTTGCTGTGCTGATGGTGAAATAGAAGTGACTGGACTATCTTTTGCACTTGGGACTTTTTTGGCTAATAATTTAAAAGAACAGCAACATACAGAGAAACAAAAACCTCGCAAAAAAACCCACATAGAATTCTCTGCCTTCCCCTCTCCCCACCTCCCAAAAGAAATCAAGGCCCACACAATTTTTTCTTCATATATAAAATAGGGGCATTTAAATTTAATAAGCAAAAAGTGATGACTACTCAGAGTATTTAAAGAAAACATATGGTCTGCACTATGTTAGACTTTTTGGGAAAAGAAAAAACTGCTGTTCTAAAATACCTTATAAAGGATCTGGAGAAGTCTTACAAAATTTAAAAGGTCTTTTTTGTAATGACCCTTTATCATGAATCACTAAGTTAGCCTTTAAGCAAGTAAATGCAAAGTGATCTTTAAAACTAAACTGCATTCACTGCTTAAAAAAAGTTCAGTATATTATTGGCTGTGGTGGGTTCACCCCTGCCAGCAGCATAGCACCACACAGCTGCTGCCACCCTCCCCTCAGCTCACTTCCTCTCCCAGCAGCATGGGATGGAAAATGTGGAGAGCAAAAGTGAGAGAACTCATGAGTTGAGATGAAGACTGTTTTGAGTAAGAAGTGATGCAAGGACCATCACTCACCATCTGTCACAAGGTGACTGATGCCCAGCTGGTCCCCAAGCAATGGCTACTTCCTCCAAAACACCCTTCCCTCCATTTCTGTTGCATAGGAGATCATGTGGTGTATAACATCCCTGTGCTCATTGTGGGCTGCCTGTCCTGGCTGTGTCCTCTCGCAGCTTCTTGCCCACCCTGTTGTCCTTGCTGAGCAGCAGAGTAAGGAAAAAGGAGAAAGTGTTGCTGCTGTGCAGGTACTGCTGGGCAATAGCCGAAACACTGGTGTGTTACCAGTGCAGTTTTAGTCACAAATCCAAAACTCAGCACCGTGCATGCTGCTGTGAAGAAAATTAACTCCATCCCTGCCACACAGTGCAGCCATATATATTTGCTCATATACCCTTATTTTAGAGCTTCAGGCTCCTAGGGATTGTCATTAGCATTATTTATAAAACAGTCCTGATGTAAACCTGGATGTCACTTCAGCAGACTCTTTTCTTATTTCTAGACCAAAAGTTAATGGTATTTTCCATATGCTTTAGATTATCTTGTTTTGCTATAAGCAAAACAAGATGTGACTGAGGTGCCTATTTGCCAAATATATATATAATCTGTTAGCTTTGTCTACAACTTATGGTGTTGTACATTCATACTACTGCTGTGTCCTTCCCTCCCCACTTACAGAGCATGTAGATGCTTGAGTTGAAATGTCAAAGCTGTTTATAAGGCAATTTTCAATACCTTGCACCTTTCTCCCATCCCTTGCTTGTTCTGGTCCTTTATTTATTGTCGTACAATTGCAGTGGCAGACCACCAAGGCCTCCTTTCTAGTCACTGAAGTCAAGGGAACCATAGCAGGAGTGGGGAAATAGGAACTTCTAATGCTGTGTTCAGGGCATTAATCCAGCATTAAAAGTGCCCTTCAGTCTTCCCTGTGATGGGCACGTACCCATGTAATACAACCTAGTGCAAGGAGGTTCTTTGTGCCTGCACTCAAATACTCTCCAGGAAGGTGATGGGCATTGAATGGGCTCTTGCAAGTGTCCTCCATCAGAGTAACCCTGGGGGGAATGATGGCGCCAGATTCTCACTTGTCTCCTGCAGAGTAGATGGGTGAAATGATTTGTGAAATAACAGAACCTCCACATTTGCATAAGGAAACCTCTGTTCTGTACAGTTCTTTCTTTATTGTTCACTAGCCACACAGTGGAAAACACAGCGGAAAAAGTGGTACTAAAGTTATTGCAACCTCAGAGCATGTGATTTTTCTTTAAGTGATCCTTGCTCTGTCAAAAGGAGACATTTCACCAAAGAAATTTTGTCATGCTCAAGAAGGGCTGTTCCTGTGACATATTTTGTTTTCTCCTGCCCTTCAAAGATAAAAGATAAGAAGAATTTATATGACCAGAAGGTTTTATCTGGTTTTAGATGAAAACTCATTGTTTAAATTTGGAGTGGCTGTTGGAAAACTTAAAATGGCAGTGTTGGAAAACTATGGGAAATTATGACAAATAAGGTTTTTATTACTCTAAAGATATTTACTGCCTATTTTATTTGAGATCTGAGTACCTAGGAATGAAAATAGTTTTCCAACTTTAGCTGCTGTGATCAGAGTTGCTCTTGCTGTATCCTTTCTGTGTTTTTATAATGCCTTTCACCTTTAAGTCTCCTGATACCTCTGTGGCCTCTGCTGCTAGTCCCACAGTAGGTTAGTTTGCAGTTTTCCAGTGTGGAGGTATCAAAGGCATAGAAAATGTCTTCAGACTGTCAGGCATTAAAGCTCCAGGAAAAACATATGTACTGACTTGTGTGTGTTAGTGTGACACTTTAGACTCAATGGGTGCCTGCTGCAGGCTTGGCATCACTGAATTTGGTAGTGGCAGTGAGGTGTTGTCTGAAAGTTTTTTGTTGATGGCATGTGCCTCATTAATGATTGAAAAAACTGTTAAAATGTTGTACAATGCATTTATTTTTTTTCTACAAGGAAGATTTCAGATGTTTTAAACAGCAAGTGCAGTACATCAGTTCTTTGAGCCCTGTGGTCTGAGGAATAATATGTATTCCTTTACATGGATGAAAAGGAAGAGAGTGTACACTTGCAAATGCAAGCTTCTGTCATTGAGTACTGTAAGTTTTACGTGTGTATAGCTGTAAATATGAACTTTTGAGTTTTGGTGCCCTCATTTTGCACAATTTTTTCTTCCTTTCCCCCACCCTTACAGAGCAACTTTGCAGATGGCCGTTTGCAATCCCATTATAAATCAGGCTTAGTGCAGAAGGGTTTATATATTCAGGCTAAGTACCAGCGGTTACGTTCTGTTGGTGTGAGGGGATTTGCCACTAACAAATTCAGAGATGGATTTTTGAGGAAAGAAAAGGTAAGTTTGATTAATTTATTTTTCACTAAGCCATTTGTAAAATATGCATATTCATAAGATCCATTTTGATTTTTAAATCTCCATGGAATGACTTGGATGGGATTTTCTGGGATGTTGGCTCTTTGTACTTCACTGGCAAACTTGACTGTGCACTCCTGTTTCCTCCCTGTTTATTCTGTGGGCACTTGCTTTGTGTAACTGCAAATGAAAGATGCCCTCTGAGATTCTGTGGCTGCTTCTGTTTCAGTATTTTTTCCTTGAGCTCAGCTGATCTCTCTTCCTACTGACAGGACTAGAAATTTTCCCTTTGTGGAACAAAATATTCTGTCCTGTTTAATCTAAGAGAAGGGTATTAATAATTTTTTAATACATGTGTGCTTCTCCTTTTTATGTTATTGTAATTATGTACTTTAAAGTATTCACTGGTGTGCTGCTGTGAAAAAAAACTTCCTGCACAGTATAATGTCTTGTGTAAAATGGTTTGATAAGCTTAAACTTTGATTTGCAGAGTGTATGGGCCAACAATAATCTTCAACTGCAGAAGAACTTTTAAGCCATATAAAATGTTGCAGTTTTTGTGAGGATCAGTAGTTAAAACATACTAAATGCTTTATTAGAATTGATCAAAGTAGTATGAAGTTACTTGTGACATCAGGGAATTGGATTATATGACCTGCACAGCCCCTTGTAGTTGTGTTCTGTGTGAGTTTTTATTTTGCAATTCTGTGTCTATCCAGCTACAAGTAAATACACTTGAATAAATAAGCATTTGTAGTTGGATTAGACTTTAGCTCTTGGAGCACAGAAGCACCTTAAAGCACAGGTTCTTACGACTGTTTGCAAATTTCTCAAGTTTACAGCCCAGTGGGCAGAAGGAAAAGCCCCCAAAACCCCTTAAGGAAACACACATGTAAAAAACAAACCAAAGCAAAACCAAACAAACAAAAAAACCCCAACCATCAGAAAGAAAACCAAGCACTTGAAACAAGGTAAAGAGATCACTTTTACTGAAGTATTTGAGTAAACATCTCTTATATTTGCGTGGGCTCTGAGAAGTATTATCTCTGAAGGCTAAATTGAATTGGAATTAGTGGAAAGTAGAAAGATATCCCCCTCCAATTATGACCTTGTGAAATGGGTATAGCAATGTTACAGTTTTGTTGTATGAGCTATTTCCAATAATTTCCATTGTTCTTCTGTAATTGGCTGTTAAGATTCATGTCTGGAACCTATAAAGCATACTTAAAACATTCTGCCTACTGGATATGATTTGAATCAGAGAATCATCAGTGACTTCTGAATTTTATTTTTTTTATGCCTGATGAATTTGAGTGTGTCTGAGTTACAGTAAAATAAATGCTGAAGAATAAGTATGACAACCATTTTCTTAACAGTATACTGTTTGCTGGTTGACTAATTCCTAAAAAACCAAAACTCTTTCTGAAATTATAGTATTTTGCCTATTGTAATGATAAAACTTGTCAAAATCTATTGAACAGTTCTGAACATCTTTATTTCACTTTGTTTCCTTTGAAATAATAATGCTGCATATGTATCTTTTAAGATACAGTCTTTATAATTGTGCTGAGTCCATAATTAAAATAATCTTGCATTTTAGATACAGAACTTAGGAAGGTTGGGAGGATTTTTCTGCTGTTACAACTGACAGTAATGATTTTCTTTTTTCCTCTGTGTAGGGAAATCTAAATATTGCAACAGAAACATGAACTGAGCTGAGATTCTGAAGTTGAAACAGATAACACAGCAAAGGGAACATCTGTTCAGTTTTTGGCAACTTTCTCAAGACTTAAAAAAGGATAAAGGAACTAACGCTGTAACTTTCTTGATTAAAAAATAACTTTATTTTGAATGCTGCAGAACTTTTTTACAGTTTTAATAATTGCTTTTAAAGTACAGTATTCAATTGAAACATCATATTATGTACCTTTAGTTCTGTGTGCATACCAGTCTCAAGTAAGGAAGTCATTGAAGGGAATCTTATTTATTGAATACTTTTTCTCTAGGCATGATGTTACAGATGGAACTTGAGTTGTTATACCCAGAAGTTTATATGTTGAAAGTTTATTGCTAATATAATAATAAAAAAAGAAAAAAAAAAGTGCCTGAATTGTTTGGTAATAGCACATTAGCTCAGGATTTTCCAATTAATGACCTTTTAGGTTGTGCAATAGATTTTACACCTCTGTTCAGTCATTTCCATAAAACAGTATTTTGTATTACTTTGAATTAATAATACACTTGGATTTCTGATGTGTATATACATTTGTAAATTGTTAGAATGTTGGTACAACTTTCAGCATTTGATTAAAATGAATGGTAACAGGCAGTTATATAAAGTACTGTAGCAGTAGCTTTTAACTGCACTGAAAGCATGCTTTGGTTTGTTAGAAGATTAGCTGGTCTGTATTCAAAATTATTCTGTCTCATTATATTTTGGTCTACGAGATTCTTGACCAAGCCACATGTTCTCTAATCTTTTTCATCATAAATGATTTGGTGATTTTGTGAATTCTCAAATTGAGGCCTGAAGTATTAAATTACAAGAAAAACAAAATATGTAAGTTTCTGAAAGTGTGTCTTCTAACAAAGAAATTGTTTATAATTGAGACTGCTTTAAAGGGAGATAGCTGGTGATTTTGTTCAGAATGATTCTCTGAAGTTTACCATACTGCAGTATTGTTAGGCTGTGTGCAAAACTCAAATAGCCAGACCTGTTTCATAAGCAGCTATAAACAGTATTGTGTTTGTTTCCTGTTTATAGCCTTTGCCTTAATTCATTATCTATGGTAGGGTTGTGTGTATGTATTGCAGATTTGTTCAGATTTCTTACTGACAGTAAATTAAAGATGCATAGCACATAGTCTTAAGAGATGTTCTTTTTCAAGAAGAAAGTTAATTCACAATATCCTCAATACATGCAGGCAGATGTATTTCCATGCAGAATGCAAGCTAGTCTCTGTTGTGGCTCGTAGACCAGAATTCCAGTTCTGGGTTAGAGGTATGTTTATGGAAAAGGAAATTTGGTTTTTTGGGTGGAAAGCCAGGATGTGATTTCTGCATGCTTTTTTGTAATGTTCTTTTCCACAATGCCTTCAGTAGAGAGACTGTTTGAAAATGCAATTATGGTTCAGAACAGCTAAAATTACTGTGACTTGAGCTCTTCAGTTCCATGGGTGTTCTGCTTAGCGTTCATAGGGAATAAGGCAGGAAGAGTGCAACATGCATTGATGTCACGGTCATTCAATGGTAACAGATGTTTTGTTTCTAAAACACAGGTTTTCAGTTTCAATAACAATCATTAATAATTTAACTAGTTTTTTAGTAACTTTAACATCCACAGACAAAATGGAAATTGGAAGGAAAGGAACTCCCTGGACAAATAGAGGCAGGCAACCTTGTGCAGATAAGAAAGTGCTTTTTTACTTAATGCTGTCAGTGATTAATCTGGCAGAGTCATCCTGTGTAGATTTACTGGGAGATAAAAATACGGAACTGAAACAACAGGTTAAATGAGTCAACCCATAGGAAACGTGGAGTTGCTGCAGTTCTGATCAGGCTGCTGGCAGGGGAGTGCAGCACCTGCCATGCCAAGAGGGGCAGGTTTACCCTGAAGCCAACAAGTCCTTCACACTGCTCTGAATGTGCACTGTGAAAGATGTGAGAAATGAAACCATATATGATACAAGACAAACTACTGAGGCTGTGTTGTCGTATTCAACAGGATACTACTGTGTCTGTAAGCTTCCTGCAGTGTTCTTATTAAATTCTGGAAGAGAACTCTTTATTGAGTAAATGGAAAAAGTGGAAACATGAAGAAACTTCTGACATGGTAGTTTTGCTAACACTGTTTGGAAGTAATGCTGGAGTAGTCAGACTTCAGTCAGTTAATGCTGCTTTAACCAGGTTTCAACATGTGACTGACTCCTGATTTTGTGCTTTATTTTTTCTATGCATGATTAGATATCTCTAATTTGTTTTGTACTTTACAGTTTAGCTTTGTGTTTATTTCTGCAACTGGTTGCAACATATTGCAAAGAAGTTTGTGGGCTTTTTGACTTGTTTGCTGACTTTGGTCCCCCCCCCACCCCCCATGGTCCTAAGATGAATGTCATATGAAATGTAGTCACTGTTTCAGTTGGTTTATCTTTTGTATGATCCCATTTGCTCAAATCACACTTTTACTGATATTTTACTTAAATAATTTTGGATTCTGTCATGATAAAACCTCTCACATTCTAAAAAATGCACACAGAAATAATGAATTTTATAAAAATTCATGGCTTAGGTGCTAGAAGCATCTACTCTATGATATGATGTGAGACATTGCTATGTAGATGTATCTTTGTGAATTACAGAGACTTGTGTGTATATACTTATACCCAATTCAGCTTGTTTATTGTTTTAGCACAGAAAATTCTGTTGTACTGGATACAGTGTTTGATTGAGGGCAATGTATTGAAGTTACTGTTTGGGTTGTGAAGGCACAAGGAAAAGGGTTAAGTAGAAGAAAGGTAAATTTACTTGAATAACCTGGTGCCTTTCAATATTGTGACTGCATTGTAGAAAACACATGTACAAAGACTTAAGTATGTTGCAATCTTTCTAGCGAGAGCATGGACTGATAACAGTTCTTGTTAAAACAACTGTTTACTTCAAATAGGTGTGTAAGCCTCTGTAGGAAAACAGTGACTCTTTCATTAGTAAAGTTTGTCACTGTGTGCATTGGAAGGGCAAGTTAAAAATGTGATTGTCTTAAGAGCTTTCTAGCTTTCTGGTTTATACTTTGAAAATACAAATGTGAATTTCCTTTGTTTTGTTTAGCTTGAAATGGCTGTTAAATGCTGTCATTTTCAGTTGTTCACATGTGAAATTTTATTTTTAATTGCTATCCAAAATGTAATAGGTTTAATATGACTAGAGTCTTCCTTTTAAGTGTCTGAAATACTAAGTTGCTATGATGTTAGCTTTATATTGCTGATCCATTTAATTTCTACATAAATTGATTAGAATACTTATTTTCAATTTGTGGTTATTGAGTTCACAAGGTTAGCAAAATTCTGGGCCAGTAAGAAGCAACACATTGCAAGGTTTCTATAAGCCTGCCTTAACTAATAATTTCATGTTTGAAATCATTTTACCTGATGGATATTGATGGTCTTGAGACCTGAACATAGCTGTCTCAGCTCAGGTAACTAATAGCAGATGATAGGAGTAAGTCCAGCTGATCAATCACCTGCTGTGTAATGTTTACCCGCTCCCATCTTCCCTAGGGCTCCAGGCTGAAATGCTGTGTTTTGTTTAAATGAACTTAGTTGCTTTAAAAACAGAACCAAACCCCAGGATTACACTTCTGTGGCATTAAAGGCAGAATTCTCAAAATTGCTTGTTATGCATCAGAAAGTAATTTTCTGCCATGTCTGTGAAATGGATAATGAGAGTCACTTGAAGGTGATAAAAGATCATAACAAAGAGAGACTGATTTCTCAGTATTCACCTTAAAAGACTGTAAATAGAGGGATTCTTTAATTCCCTTGCTTTCCTAAAGGAAGGCTTTTCCCATACTGTGTTGAAATCCACCTCTTGCCTTTCTTTAAGCATCTGAACAGCAATCTACAAAGTTCTTTATGGAAGAGCCCTCTAAAAGACAGACTTCAGACTTGCATTCTAATGAATCTGAAAAAAAGGTGTTTCTGCACGTAACTCTGACCCTTGACAGACTTCATTCCGTTGCTGCACAGTTTGAAGATAAGAAGTTCTTCAGCCTCCTTACGAAGGAAAGAAAGAATAAAAGCCATTTCATGATTGTTGAAAGCCTCCTTGTGGCACTTGATTCCCTAACAGACCTTAAGGAGAGCCATGAACATTTAAGTGTGTTCTGTTTTGAGCTTTGTGAACATTATTTTTCAGTGTCAAGATTAGAGAACACTCTTGTCATAACACCTGCCCCTTCCTTCCATGCCTGGTGGGTTTTGTTGGAGGGATTTTGGGTTGGTCTTCAGACACATGGTTTAATAGCCTGCCACTTTTAATGCAGTTTTTCTTCTGTTCACTGTTCATTGCTCTGAATTTTGTCTAAGTAGTCTGAATCTCATGTTGTCTTTTTAATATTTCATTTTCTGTAAATAATGTAGTAGATGGCTTTCATTTTGTGACTGCTTCTCTTTAGTATTGAGGGGAGGCGGCAGTGGAAAAAGTTGTTGTTAGATTATGTTCTTCAAGGAATAAAAAAAAGCCTCATTGTTTTGTTTTAAGAATAGCAGGAATTTTTTACTCCCAGTTGAATGAGGGGAACTAATGTCCACTTCTAAGGAATAGATTGTTGATGTTATTTATACTGTAGTTTCTCAAGGACTGTCTAATGTGTGCATGTGTACATGTGTGTACACATGGAAGCACACTGTTAGAGAAGCCTTTAATTATTTGTAAGTGTGGATAAGAAATGACATTTTTAAACTACTGAAGCTGGAGTTAAATGCAAATGCATTTTAAGTCTGTAGTCTTTGAGTCCACTACGGTGCTTTTGACAATGTTACTCCATATCTAAAAGCCTCGTTCATAAGGATATATAGTAAGATGTAGGTATGTTTATATGTATGTTTAACATAGTTTATATAAAATAAATGTAAATTTTGTTTCTACAGACAATAAATGTTTTCACAAAAATTTACTTATAAATAATTCAGTTATTTGATTCAGTAGTTATTAATGTTTGGTGTAATTTTCAGGGTAAAAAAAAATATTTTTTCAAAATCTCTTATGCAGGGAGTGCAAAGTGGCAGTTTTCTGTTTTCATACAAAAACTGCCTGAGGTAAGAACAGGCTGGTTTTACTTACTGTTTCATTAACAGTCAAGGTGCTCGTGCTGTAAAATGTTACCTGTACTTAATCTTTAATACCAGCTTTTTTATTTATTTTTTTTTTTTTTTTAAGTCCGTGCTTTTCTGCTGCCATTGTAGGTTTTTTTCCCAAGGGTCTTTACCTGTGGGAAGACGTGCCTGTGCAGAAGCCTCCCCACCCTCCCTTCGTGCCTTTCTGTCCAGACATGTTGCTGATCTGTGCACAGTGTTACTGTAGCAGGGGTTTCTCATCTTCCTGCAGTAGGAACAATCCGTGCTCCGACGCTGCTCTTTTTAGCGAAGCATCAACACTACCCCAAAGGCACTCTTCATCTTCCCTATTTGTCTTTTCTTCCTTTCCTTCTTCCTTGCTCCTAAACCCAAACCTGTAGCGGTGTGTGCGGGTGGGCCGGGCAGAGCGGAGGGGCGCCTGCGGCGCTGCCGGTGCATCTCCCGGTCGCTCAGAAAGCGGAGCCCCGGGGGCGGGGCAGGGCCGGGCACGGCTGCCGGGGGCCGTGCGCGGACGGGGAAGGTGCGGGGCAGGAATGCGCGCTTAGGTGCCTGTCCCGCCGCCCGGGAGCGCTCTCCATCCTCCTCCCGCACCCAGCGGGGACGCGCCCCGTCCCCTCCCTGTGCCCGAGGAGTCCTGCCCCGAGAGGGAGGGAGCCACCCCGCTCCCCGCCGCGGCTCCGCTCTCCGCCGCCCCTGCCCCCGCCGGGACCGCGGCGCGGCTCCGCTTCCTGCCGCCCTCCCCGCCCTCCTCTCCCGCCGGCCCGAGGCGGCGCAGCGGCTCTGGCGCAGTCTCGCGACACTTCCCGCAGCGCGGAGCCGGAGCCGCCGCTCGCCCCGGCAGCAGCAGCGGCAGCCGCGGCGGTCGCTGCCCGCGCTAGGGAGCCCCAGCCCCAGCCGCTCCCGCCCCGCGCCCCGCCGCGCTCACCGCCCGCCCCGCCCGCGGCTCGGCGGCATAGGCTCCTCCGGGCGCTTTCGCTCTGGGCTGCTTTTCCCGGCGGCAGCGGGGACCC